ATCAGTCCACACCTTCACTGTTTTGATATTCACCATTTTTTTTCGTAAAATTGAGTTTCCCCACTTTCATCTAGACGATATGAGCCAGGTTGCATTATCGTCTCGGGAGCTAGATGGCTTAGTGATTAAAACACGAATTTACTGGCCGGAAGACCCGTGGTTGGAACCCGACCTCTGCATCTCAACTTCTCCTATCTAGGCTTGAGGGACCTTGCAGTATCCCGGCCCTTGTGCTTCCTTCGGGTTGCATGGCAGCTAGACACCGGAAGGGTATTACAGCTGAACGATTATCTACAATATCGTCTCAGGAAAGCAATCAGTTTTCTCTAATTTCATACACATCTGTCAAACTTCGGTCAACAAAACTTACCATTCCAGTCGCTCAGTATTTCAACAGACCCAAAAGTAGGAGAAAGTCACCTCTAATGCCACCCTAATGTAACCACTGCTATTGGAATGGCACAGTATGCCTCAAAAATACCAGTGCTCATTGTACAGCCGCCTCTGATTTGGCCACTGATGCGATTCTTCGAAAGATTCTCCTTAGCGTCTTTTGTGATACTGTCGTTTCCTCTGTGGCCGCGATTCGTCACTCATATCAATTTTCCTTCTTCACTTTGATGACATGCGCCAGGCGTTTTGTTTTGGCGTTGATTAAACCAACATGATCGTTTTTGTGCTTCACTGCTTACGTGCAATCCCGTCGGACGCCACTGCGTTAGCATTGTTGTAGCCGAGACCAGCAACCGCCACATTACGTTGACCAGCCTCACTCAGGAAATTCACCGCCTAGTCAAAGGCGATACCACAAAGTCACTTATAGCCCAGTCTATTTTTTTTTAACTCAACGTAGCTTAGGAAATTAAACTGGATTGTTTAGCAGAAAGTCCGTTTCATCTGTGGAGTATAACAGAAAAACTAAAAGCAAAGTTTTAGCTGGTGATGAAATCCATGGGAAATATTGGTGATGGTTTGCCAATCTGAAAAGCTGACATCTTGTATTACTTAAAAGTGGTGATTATAGTATTGTAAAAGACACTTCGTTCCGAAATCAGCGGGATCAGCGCCACTGGTAGAACAGTGCTGTACACATTCTGTGTAAGCAGAAGGGCAAAAGTGTAGAATACCTCCATGACATACATAAATAGCGATGTTACACAGAAGGTCAGTACAACTGAAGTACTAGATTTTCAACTGTGTACCGACCATTGTATTCGGTTTTTGGTGGGTGAAATTTGCGCAACAGTTAAAGCAACTTCGTCATTTTTTCTTCACTTCTGTTTCAGATACGATCGAATCCTGTTCTAGTACTGTCCTTATAAGCTGGGTCAAAACAGCCAATATTGTCATATTCGACGATCGATGAAAACAGATCCCGCTGTATTGGTGAGATTAAAGGACATCAATGTATTCATGGTGTACAATACTCAAAAGCTGTTATCCAACAAAATTCACCTTCACATGCATTAACATCCCGTGTACAGCACAACGGGACCCTTGCATTATATATTTTATAATATATAATGTGTATAATATGTAACAATATAGTGTAACATTCTTTTAGAGGGAAACTCCTTGTATGGAAGAGTAATCAAAAGTAAAACAACAAACAGTGAATGTGCTGGTGGTCACTAAATTGACCGGGTTCTGAACAGATTCATCCGTGGGAGGGAAATCTTGGAAGAAGTTCTAAAATTTGTCTGGATGCCGTGTGCGTGTGTGTGTATGTGTGCGTGTGTGAAACAGACGGGCAGTCATCTTCTCAGAGAAAGAGAGAGTAACAAATAAGCCATCGTCACAGTGGAAATTGGAATGGCAAAAGCGAATCCAGATCCTTTTTGCACTCAAGGCAGTAGATATTCAGTGACAACAGAAAATAGAGCGCCAGCGAGAAAAGCAGCAGCAACAACAACAACTTTTGAGCAGCAGAGAACTCGTCTGCGTTCACCATTTTAAACGATCCCAGTGGGAATGCCCTCGGGCTAACCCGAAAATGTCACACATACATGTATCAGAAATACTTTATCCCCTGGGGATGGAGCTATACTCTCGAGAATCACCGACTCCCGCTGAAACAGTGTGTATGAATGGAATAGCTGAGTGGGTTGGTGGGTGGTAATGGGCTGTAGTTGGAAAAACAGTCAGAATAGAAAAGCGGTTCGCCCATCTGTCACAGACCACAATTTCTGCCCAACCCACGTGTTCCAATGTAAGATAACAGGGACAGTTTGTGCACATGTGGTGAGGTTCATGGTTCGAACACGGGTAGATCTTCAAAGCTCCCTTGGGTCACGCGCATCGGTTCACGCATGTTCCGAGAAGTTGGAAGTAATTTAATAAATGTGAGACTGGAATTTCCTAAAAAAAGTCACATGGGGATCAGACACACGAGTTATCTTCATTGCATATTTGAGGTAGCCCGTTGAAGTAACAGCCCGAGTAAACGGACAAGTGATTTGAACGGCCTTTTTCCTATTTCAGTACGACTCTTCTTGTATGAAACAATGGAGGGGCCCTCAGAGGTTCATGCAACTGGTAGTGCTGTAAGTTAGATTCTGAAAATCTGCAATGTGAGATGAATGTTGCCTGTGTTTCATCACGGCATCCTGAACTCAGGGGAATCGACATCCGAACTATCTGGTCATTTTGAAGTAATGTCGGCCTTGCTCGGAGAAGACTGTTGTGATAATTACTTGGACCATCACAAGCTTTCCTGATCAGTTGTCCTCTACCGTGTGATCGGCTCATGTTTACCCAAGACAACTCTCACCGAAACACAACACCGATTTTTCACTGCCTTTGAACACCAGGGTACGATTGCCGGTTTCTGTTTTACCCACACCTCTTTCCGTAATGCCCTGGTGTGGCCTTTTTTAATGGTTGTACGGTGTACATTCCTTGGATGGTAGAAGCTTGAAATGCACGAAGAATAGGATTTCCCAGTCACTTTGCTAGTGGGCTACTGTACGGTAATGTGAACAGTTGTACTAAAACTGTAAGTGATCCCATTCATGGACACGGTGCGCACTTTCGTATAAACTTAAGTTCGAAAATTAACCGCCGATTTACATAAAAAACGCCAGAGCAGCTAGGAATGAAAACAAGCGATGCAATACATCTCAGAGAGTTTTTAATACGCATTTATTAGGACTACTACTACATTACTTCATCTCTGTGTTCCGCATTTGATGCCTATGACTCCTCGGGGGAGCTGTAAAACAGGCTTTCCACCCAGCTCTCTCAACAGCACCATGCTTTTAACAGGGTCTTGACGTGCGTCTCGTCAGCAATTTTGGTGTTGGAAAGCTACACCTGAAATAGGCACATATTTCATCAGGATTCTTCACAATCATCTAGGAACCTCGGCTCCTTTATCGGAAACCAGTTTTGAAATACCTCCGGAATTCCATTAACCAATCACTGTCTGTCTAAAATCCGAGTTATGGTGATGTTCATCCTCTTTCAACATAAACTCCCACATCGGCGCGTGCTTTGATGTGTTTCCAAGGCAACTGTTTCAAACCTCAAAATTAATGTTCACCAATACAATTCTCTCTGGGATTCAGGTTTCTCCAAACGCTGAGAATTCTTGATTTTCACTTCTCGAGTATCTGTTATATGTCTACAGTTCACTGGGAAACGCTTCAAATCGATCTATGAGTCATCGTTCCAGGAACCGCGCCACCTCGTTACGTCATTTTGAGTTCCGTTGCGTTGGATAGACGGATACGAACACGATTGACACTGATCGGAACTTCCGCCTGGGACGAAGCTCAGCGATCTAAAGTACCACCAGGAAAGAATTATGCAATATTGATTGGTGTGCTGGTAAGTGCAGTGAACAGTCAAATAATCACTGCAGTGCTCGTTCGGTAATCAAAACCTATTCTTTTTACTAGAATTCCGAGCATACACGGTAAATGTTTTTCTGCCAAGGCGCCCAGCAGCACACCTTGGTAAGTGCAGTGAACAGTCAAATAATCACTGCAGTGCTCGTTCGGTAATCAAAACCTATTCTTTTTACTAGAATTCCGAGCATACACGGTAAATGTTTTTCTGCCAAGGCGCCCAGGCAGCACACCTTTAGGAATCACCTAATCTCTCGAGACACAAATAATTTTGAAGAAACTCTCTTTTTCGGGGCAGTCTCTTCAGGTCTATTGCTGTAAATGTACTTCAAACCCTAATGTAGTTGCCATGCTCTGTTAGCTCGCGGCCAGTTCACGTTGCCTGGAAACTTCCCAGGCGGTAACATGCTTTGTTACGGTCTTTTTGCCAAAGCGGATTTCATTTAAACCGCGGTCCTTTACCAGACTTTACCTCATTGTGGCTTTAGCGATTCCCGTGTGGTTAAATGCCCAGTGTGGATCCCATTATTTGAATCTAAGTTTCAGCTTACAACAATTACGATATATACCAAGATAAACCACCAGTTGTGGACTAACGTACACTGGTTTCCCGAATCAGTGAATACATTGATTTCGCTTTATTAATACGCACGTGGTCCCTTTCCCCTAATGTGTGATCATACGAGGACATAGTGACAAAACTAATATTCAGCTAAAAATATGCATTTCCGGCTATGGGAGTGTTGCGGACGTCCGTTTGTTCCCACCCTAGTTCACATGGTCGGTTCTTCAGTTTGCGAGTCCAGCTGAACATACAGATGTGGTCAAGCTAGGCAGTTAGAACTGAGTTGAATCACGTGATTGAATAGATTTTTTGCTAGTTGTGTGCATGTTGCGGTACCCTTGCTGTTGATCGTCTTCTCTTGCTCCCCCCACTTCTCCGCTCCCCCCTTCCAATTTGCATGGCTGTCCAGGCCACCACGTGGCCAATCGGCTGCACACGACGGCACATGTGGACATTCATATGTTCGCCCGACGGCCACGTGCTCTGATTGGCCGAAAGGTCGCGCCGCCTGACGATGAAGTGGACAGTTTGCTACGTTCATAACCAGTGTTCCGATACTGCACACGGGCCACAATCGTGCGACTATCATGCCGGGGGAGAAGAAGCTACTTTGTCCTGATCGGCGCCTGTTTTTCGATTCAACTTGTAATTCTGTGGATAGAAGTGCAGTGAGTGCCAAATGTCAAGAAGCTGCCAAACAGGCATGTCGCCAAAGCGCCGAACGGTTACGTGAACTATTCAATTTTGATTTGAACGCGATGTCACCATCAAGACCGACGAGTTTTCTGCCAGACAGAACGGGAGCTGCTAGGACCCTGTGGACAACAGAACGTTCCACGTGGAAGAATACGGTTTGTTCCTCCATGCCTGCATCACCTTGCGAGGAGTGGATGACTGGATGGCATTGGGAAGCCATGGACACAAAAATATCCTATGTTCCACAATTCTATCACACCCAACGTTATCACTCAGATGGTTATCTGTCCAGTGGCTTTACACCACCAACTCCAGTCAAGGAACAACCAAGAAAAGGAAGCTGTCGTAAGAATGCATCGGATATTACTCATCATTTGCAGCATGAGAAGTTTTCAAATGGGCAAGAGTTAACACTGACTTCAAAAACGCCAACCTTATTCAGACTTTGGTGTGCTCGTATTCGACGTGCTTCTTGTGCTGATAACACCGCGCATGGAGTTACTGAACACAAGAGTCGTTGTGATCCAAAACGTACTCAATCTTCGGAACGGCTACCCGCTGCTCCCAGGACTACTCTTATATCAGTACCCAAAAATTCTCCGGTTAAACCAATCGTCATGAGACAACCCGAAAATCAAACAAACGGTCCCGTCTCCATCACCTCCAATCAGAGTATAGAATGTACTACCACTCGAAAGTCTCGGGCCGAACTTCCATACAGTGATTCGAAAAGTTCGACGACACAAAACGCTGGAGAATTGGCTCCAAGAAAATCACTGAAAGAAAGACGATATCGTCAGCTTACTTTGCACGGTAATTTTTCACCAAATTAATGCCAGTATTATATGCATGTGTATTAGATTAATCAGTAGCTTGTAACAACTTAAATGACACTGGCCAATGTTCAATGAGTAGCATTCAAACTTTACTGGTTAGTTTTATTTTCGCCCAGCTTCTCCACAGACCGAATGTGTTCATGCCATCATCCAAACCGTAACTGAACGCAGCTTGTCAAGTTCACCAGTCACGTTATCACTCCAACTAATCAGTGGGTCACTGTAATACACCGCGGCATTGTACCAACGTAGCCCAGATTTCTCATGGCGAAATTACAAGTCTGCGATACAGTAAACAGTTCCACGATCCATATGTAATTCCTCTTGCAAAATATTTGCATGGCGATATGAGTTAGCCCCTCTTATCGAGTTCATTGAGTTGGAATGTGCAACGGAAGCTTTTAGATGTTATTTGCTCAAAGCTGGTGAGTGTTCGAGATCCACAGACGAGAACAAGAGTATGTCTTGTTATGATAAGCTGTCAATTTATGTTTGCTAAGATGCCTCAGAAAGTTCTCGAGAGTGTCTGACAGGATACTTCATGGGACATCATGACTTTGATGGAAGTGGGGAAATATATAGGGATTTTAGTGGAGATTCAAATTCGCAAGCGAAGCCAGTTTGTTGTAGTTTGTCTGTTGTAATTCCACCGTCTCGTCACACTACCCAAAAAGCCACCTGTAACCTCCCTGTAGATAAAGTACCTCTTACGTTACGTAAACCCGTCATTTGAGAAGTCAGTTAATGCGTGACCACGTGATGTGAGTAACTCTACTGAGGGGTGAGTGGCATTACATTCTACGTAACTGCAAGTTACTCACAAAGAAGACCAGCCAATGGTAGCCAATCGGTATAACCTTCATTCACTAGCTGGCAGGTAGCCGACTGGAACGGCTCTCGAGATCAGTGAGATGCGCACTACTGATTATTCCTGATTGGGATTAAACAGATGTGGAGTTTTTTTCGGATTTTCGTCATAGATCGGCTTCACTCGCAGGATGCAATCCCTGTGGACAACTTGACTTCAAGTCACCTTTGAACGCTTATCGATCCGAGTTTCCTTGTTGGGGTGTATTAACATGGAATAACATGGCTCCAGCCTGGCGAAGGCACATGAGACATGCTGATCGCCGGTTTCTGAACGAATTCCTGAGGGCAATAGGAAAGATTTAGGGTGCTCTGAAGAATCATTCACAGGTAAAGAGCCATCCACGGCGTTGCCCATTCCAGCGAACTAATAAACCATAATCGGGTTGAGTCTGTTTATGTTATATACCTGGATAAACCAGCTACATAGGAAGAAATGTACTCTGAGTTGCTAATCATACGGACAGAGTAAACAACATGGTTCAAAAATAGTGCACATCTCCATTGGGTTGTGCATACAAAACATGGTTCGTCACCGTCAACAGAGCCAATGAAAGCCGAACTAAAAACAAAATGTTCTGGTCTGTTGTTTCATGTTCATCTGCACAGCTAGTTAGACTACAGCTATGAGCTCATGGAGTTCTGGAGTTTCCTACTGCCTGCGATTGCCCTACATACGTAATTTAGGTAAAGTTCCGAGTGCTGAAACTTGCACAGCGGAACCACGTTTTCCAAATACTCGACTTGTCTTTATTCGGTTTAATCAAGCAGGCGATGAAAACAGGCAGAAAATTGCTGGCCAAGAGAACCCAAAAATCTAGTACAGTGTGGCTGTTTGTTCCGGATTTGATACGGTGTCACATTCAGTTTTGTGCAATCGTAATCACCATTCAAGTGGACCGCTGTTTTGCTCTTTTTAACTTTAATCAGGAGTGAGTGTAAGAAACTGTTTACCATAGTTTCAACTCCAACGCCTTACATCACGACAAGGCACTTGCTAATTCTTATCCGGTTGGTGCAGAAACATGTTCAAATTTAGGGTTCACTCCATTGTTACTGGACCACTATTGATTGACCTCTTAGGGGTTATCTAATCTGCCAAATCTAGCGAATCAAATCCACTTTTATCGGGGCTTCAGCAAGGAGGAAGCAATTTACTACTGCTTGGGTGGGTGGAAGTCAATACGAACCCATCTTTTTGTTTCACTGTAAGGCATGTTAACACCAGAGCTACTTCCTCACTCGTCGTAATTTAAGACGCACGTAAACTTATAGAACTATATTACATTTTTCTGGACAAGTCGAGAGGCAATTATGGTTGTCAATCCACTTAGTTTATTTGCCTTAGAGAAATAATTGACCGGAATCCACGCGACAGTAAATCTAGTGCGTATACTATCCCTACTCAATTTCAGCTTTGAAAAAGGCAAGAAAATGCAACTGTATTTTGAAGAAGTAAACAGATTACTTATTTTCCAATGCATGCGTTGGGATGGTCGATAGGAGACCTACTGCACTCGAATATTCTTTTATCTAGGATATACCACTTCAATGAGAAGCAGCCAACGAAACTTTAACCTGAAAGATAACATACATATGTATGCATATAAGTTTTTTTGGGGAAATTATGGACGTCCGTTTTGGCTGGGCTTTTGGTTCCTCTTGTAACTCATCGTTAACCAGCCATACTAATTTTCCAAAACAGACTGCTCTTGGAGATCAACGAATACTTCACAATTCGTTCAAGAGAATACCCATTCTTCTACACCTGCCCTCGAGATGAAGTTAACCTAAGGTACGTTAAGGTATGTCAATTATCATTACTCTCATCAACCGAAATGTGACGCTTGTATTTTACCCTGTTTGTTGTTAGCTCAACTTGTTAACTCCTGAGTGCTGTAGTACGTTCGAGATAAAAGCAAATTAAGGATAATTTAGTGAGTTGGTAATGAGAGAAAGGAAAAAGCGACACTGTGGTGTTCCCTGACAAGTATGGGCTTCTCTATTTGGCGCATTGTGTAATAGCTTAACACCAGTGTAAGGATAGGGCATGCGCTGATCCGCGTCTGATTACCAAACGTTTCCCTTTTCTTACCAACCCATAATCTCCACGGTCGACGGTCTGCACATTATTCCTCCTAGCGAATATTAAGATGACAGGTAGTCAAAGGTTTGAAACGATTTATCTCCTCAGTTGCTCACATTTCAACTGTGTATTAAATAGAACTGTTGAAAACAAGTGAGAATTGCTCGGTCGCCGTTGAAAAAAGTTATACCGTTTCAGTTTGTCACACGTTGGTTGAGAGTATACATAGGGGATCTTTTAAGTTGCCATTTAAGTGGCCAACTTCAAGTTGCCCACAGACTAGGGCCAAAAGTGGCTAATACCAGCTGGATGAATATATTCATTTGTTTACACTGTTTTATCGATTTTCAGATCCCTCTGTTAGACGAAAACCTCACCCGCTAAAATGACTTCTTTGATTATTTCCTTCAGATTGTTATTGGCAAGTCTACTTTGTCTAGACAGAATTTCAACAGACCTATTTTGTGCTTGAAGCAACAGAATCCGCAAGATAGCAAGAAAAGCAGAAAATTGCTCCCAAAATATTCGAAACAAGATGTGCGCGCGTGAAGAAATAACACATGCGGTGACACTGGCGCTTGCCTAACTAATGTCTTTCTTCCTACTTTATATCACCGAAATATGTAAGAATAAATCCACTTACCTCATCTTCCACTGTACAGAATGAACTGAGTTCCCTCATTTGTTTTTTATAGATATCTATCTATTTTGTGTGCTACCGTGGCAATATTTGTCCATTCGTTTCTTTGTTTTTTCCAAGAGAACCTTTTAACGTCTCAGTCTTTCGTAAACCATGATGGGGGAATCCTGTGAGGCTGTTTTGGATCGAAGCCCTTTCTTTCGTTAGGGGTGGTCAGAAGAAGTGATGACGTAAGGTAGTGCATCTGATATGACATTCCCCAACTGACCACGCTGCACAAAGGTCACTTCATGTTTCATTTGGGACATACCTGAATACCAGTTTGTTTTTGGCGGGAGATTCACCTAAAACCCACCATAGACCGGAGTCTCCCGTCAAAAGCGAATCGATATGCAAATGAGTGTATATGTTGAATTTCTTGCAATTTTGGTACAACTAGCACATAAAGTTGATAGAAGCTCGGGGATTGCGCCCATCTGGTGAGCTCCCAGAAGGGCGAAACAGGTAATGAGTGTATTATATCTACGTATTTTTCTTAACGTACCGCTATATAAAACTTGCTGATAAGCAATATAATTGAGAGATTCGAGTGATTTGTAACTGAGCGTGTCATCAGATGCTTACCGAAACGTCTAAAAGTTTGGTGTTCAGCTAAGAAATAGGGTTGATGGATAGTAGGGGCTAGGTTTGCTTGATGAGCCCCAAGCTGACGGTGGGCTATCCTGAGTCCTCATTGAAAGTGTTTTCTGTCCGTGAAGCCAATCTATGCTGAAAAACCGTTAGGTATTGTACAACTGTTTTATTCTTATTGAGAATCATCTGCAGTGCGCATCTTACAAAACTCAAAGGATTTTCGATCCTACGGCCTTCCGGCCAGCGGTTGAACAATTGACCGTTCGACCACGAGTGGCTTAACGGCTATGTAGTTAGTTCTCAGGTGCCCCCCCTGAGTTCAGCTCGATTTTATATGTAGCAGCTAATTGGTACGTCTTTTCAGCGAATAAATAGTATCCAAGCGCTTTAGCCAACCGAGTACTATTGTTTACTCAGTATTCAACGTAAGAAGAGGATCCCAAATTGCCGACTGCATACCGTAGGGTCCAAAGGGTCGCCGAATACATTAACATTAGGGTCAAATCAGGTGCTTGAGGTGTAGGTAACGAAGTGGAAGCCAGCATGTTCTGACGTTGAAAGTAAAACCTCACTGTCAGAGCAATTTCAGCGTTTAGCGGTAAGAACTAGTTTGGCGGTTCCTCTCCAATCCTCTATGAAATTAGCAAAGGTATAGCCACTGACTGGCCATCTCAAAATGAAAGAGTAACTGAAGAGTATACAGTTTTCTCTCCTGGCATTTATTTATCCACAAGTGCCACAGATCTTCATCTAGGCTGTAGAAATACTTAA